CCCCCCCCCCGAGGAAAAAAAAAAAATCTCAACACCTCCCCCGCCTCGCAAAAAAATACAAACGAAAATTCATCGAGCACCTCATTTTCCCTCAGATCGTCAGTTACAATCTGAAGCCTGAACAGTTCAGTTTTTGCCCGTTTCATCCATCGGAGGCACTTTGAAATTTATTCGAGTTTACATCCCCTCACTTCTTTCTTTCTCTGACTCTCGTTCCCTCTCACTCACACATCCACACACAGCAAAGCAAGTTTATACTAGGCTGCAAATACACGTGATGCAAAAAGACTTTGCCAAGAGGAACAATATTTTTCTTTTCCATATATAAACCAAGCCACATTTTGCTGGGGAGATTTTCATTTCGGTACTTTTGCATTGGGGGCGAAACCTAAATTGCATACTTTCTTTCCCCTTCCTTTCAAGTCACAGATTAGTATAGCTGCAAACTTCGCCAAAAAAAAAAAAAAAGGCAATTTTTGAGGGTGGATGTTGTTTTGTTTTTACACTTGAGTTCCTAGCCACGCTAAGTCCCCGTTCGCCAGCACTTGTAAGTTTTGAATTCAACATTTACCATTACAGGCCTTGCATGCTCTTAAAACATACTTTTTCACATCACTTTTTAGGATAAAAATTAAGCTTCATAATTCTATCGTTTCGTAATAACAAGCGTGCTTTATCCAGTATATGCAACATAAGCTATTTTAACGTGTGTTAAAATACACATTCCAGAAACCCTGTTATTGCTAGATGTGCTAGTACATACACAAAATGCATGCACACACTTTTTCCCATTGGCAATTATTTAATAGGTTGTTCCTTTTGTTTTAATAAAACATTGGGATCGACATTTTAAAAATTAAATTCAATTACAAACAGTTTACTCTGACAGCAAATTGTAACGTTACCTTAAATGGCCACAAATATGCTCACAATATTCCAAGGAAAGTGACTTTAAAAAGAAAGACAAAAATCTTCTGCAAGTACTTAGTATCTCACATGTGTATCCCCCAAAAAAGTATTTTAACTGGTACTCAGTTCTGCTCCAGGGATATCCACAGAATACAAGATTATGCACCTGGTTCTGTTTTTTGCATTTTCCACCGTAAAACTGCAACAAAATCCCCTCCCCCAAAAAAGAAATCATTAAAAAAAAAATCCAACAACTTTTTCTTATTGTTTATAAAAAAAATATCAATACAGGATAGTTAGAATTTTTCCTCAAACAAATCTTGTTGGTGGTTTTTTTTTTCTTCTCCTCTTATAAAGTCTTAAACTTGTTCCAAGTTTAGAGGTGTCTCATCATCATCATCCTCCTCCTCCTCATCATCATCACCATTGACTCCCCCGTGGAGTCACATTGATAATAATAGGTTTCCCTGAAAGATACATTGTAATCCATTCACATCCGGGCACTGCGGGCTTATAAAGAGAAGGCGCTGCGGCCGCGGCTGCTCCTCCAGACAATGACTGGGGAGGGGCGGGGCGGGAGCGGGCGATCATAGAGTAGTAAACACGGCGCCTAGAGAGGCGCCCAAGATGGCGGCGCGTGCGGGCCACGCCTCCTCCGGGACCGGAGGCGGGTGGCTGCGCTCGGTCGGGTGTCGCGCGTGGGGGCTAAACTGCAAGGGCTCATGAGGTTGGGGCTGTTCCCAGGCCCAAGCGTGTTCCTGCGCGCTTCTTCTTGCTCCCTTTGCTTGGTCTTTCCTGGGTTTTTGTTGTTGTTTTTACTCAGAAGTGTAGTTTCTAAGTAAATGAAGGCATTACACGCCACAGATTTGCGCAGGGGAGTCAGATCCCCTGGCTCACCCTGAGGGAGGCTGGCCTCAGCAACAGAAAGCCAGAGCTCGGATTCTCCCGCAGTGTGGAGCCAGTCCTCTTAGCTAGCCTTGAACAGCGTGGGAAAAGGCGGCTGTACCAAGTTGTAGATGCCGGGCTTGAAGAGGTATGAGGGTGCCCTCCACCACCACTCCCCACCCCCCCCAACACACACCTTTTTTTTTTTTTTTTTTTTTTTTTTTTTTTTTTTTTTTTTTTTTTGACCCTGGAGGAGTGAGAACTTCCTAAGTCCAGAAAGTCTTCCCTTGGAGAAGACTTTAGGTTATAGCGTCTTAGACAAGTCGAGTTTGTACCTTGAACCACTACTGACTCAACTTATAGTTCTGGGCGAGCAGTTACCTTCTCTAGCCTGCTTTCTCGTCTGTGGCATGCAAATCGTGATCACCTTCCGAATTTCCTGAGTTAAAGGGATAAAGATGGGGTCACCAGAGAAGAAAATTTCCCTTTCCATCTCTAATTCCAGCTAAACTAACTGATATCACTAATCTAGCCCACGGGATTTTAAATGGAGATTTCTCTATTCCACCAGTGTAATTGTACTCCCACCGGAGAAAAGAGTAATAATCATGATAGGTTAACACTTACATAGTGGCTTTACTATGTTCCAAACACTGTTCAAGAATTTCTCAAGTATTGGCTGTTCTAATCCTGCGAATGACTCTACAGAGTATGTCTTACAATTTTGTTATATTTATATATATTTCTATGACATCTTTTATGTTTTACATACAGAGAATCAGAAGCAAGCAATGTTGAGTAGCTTGACCCAGGGCACTTTGGAAAATGATACAAACTTGCCTAAAAGTACACAATTTTAATAAGTGATAGCACTCACCTTTGAAGACAGGCGGTCTAGGATCAGAGTTGACATTCAACCACATTCCTATACCATCTGGCAGCAGGAACTGCCTAATCTCCATTTTCTGATGCAATTTTGTGGCAGTAAGAGTGTTCAGATCAATCTTCAAGATCTTTTGTTTATATGTAACCTTTTAGAAAACAAGAATTAGAGCATTTTTAGGTTGTTTCCTGTCTATTCACACATTGTGAAGATTCCTGTTTTCCATCCCCATTCCATGTTCTCATCTTAAAGTTTACATGTAGACACTACTTTATGCTGCATTATTACAATCATTATCTGTGATTCTCAGAGTAAGCCTCTACAGGGCTGTACTGAGATGATGTAATAAAAAGTTCACAAACATTTGTTTAAGAGAAGTATTCCATTGGTTCTACCTCTAATCAACTCTGTGACCTAAGGCTTGAGGTCAATGTGTTTTACTGTAAAATACAGAGGCTAGATTAGATAATCCCTTAAGATTCTTTCTAGTTTCTAGTTAGATTGCAAAAGCCTCCCTTTCCTGAATTTCAAGGGGAATAAATGATCTGTCCAGAAACAATTGACAGGATCAGGTGGGGGACCTCATTGCCCCCAAGTGATTGCTAGCACTTTTTTTTAACTGCATCCCACAGTCAGAAAACCATGCAACCACCCTTCCTATCTTAAATTAAGGGACAAATGTGGATTGTTTGTTTTGTTTTGTTTTGTTTTGTTTTCCATGAACTATAAGAAGAATAGGTATATCTACGAAGTTATGCTTACGAAGATTGGAGACACCTTAGAAAGGAAGACTCAGTAAAATTTTGTGAAACTTGGATAAATAGGTAAGTGTAGCAGATAGGTTTGGGGATGCCTGCTCCATTCTATGGACTCTGTTTCTTAAAAATCCTGTCCTTAAGTCCTGATGCAGAGGTAGAACTTGATGTGGGTACCATATGACCTTTCTATAACCTTCCTGTCCCAGTTTCACCAGCCCCAGCTGATTGGATCACAGGAACTAAAAGAGGAGTGGTCTATGATCTGACTTGTTGGAGTCAGCTGGCCAGAGTGTCAGGAAGCCAAGCCATGTGAGCCATGGTTATAGGGAAGCAAGAACCATGAGTAAGCAGAGAGAACTGCTCTTTAGATAAGAAAGATCTTAGAAGTTCTGAGAAAAGTAGACAGTTGAGTCCTAGGAAGAAATGAGTTTATTTACCATTTATTATAAAGTTTATTCCCATTTATTATAGAGGCCACCTTGCCTCCTGTCCATAAGACTGCTACTCCTGCCATATTCCCCTTCCCTAAGTGAGCTAACCTGAGGACTTTTCTGATTCTTACAACTAAAAACTTTAGGGGAAAAAAAAAAAGATTCTTTTGATTTCAGCATTTCAAAACAATCCTTAACATCAAAAAAAAAAAAAAAAGGAGTCATCACTATTCTAGGGCATAAACACTATTCCACTCACACGGTAGGGATTCTATCCAATTAATTGTGCCACATACAGTCAGGACAGTATATACAAGTGTCATTCCCCTTTCTACTGTGTTGTGACCTTGGACAAATTTCACATCTTGTCACATGTAAAAAAAAAAAATAATAACTTGTCTTCCATACTTTACATGACTGGTTAAAATCCAATGAGTTGGTAGAGATTAACATACTCTGAAAATGACAAATTCTTATGAAATGTAAGGTATAATTATTGCATAAACTAAGTTGATGTCTAAAAATAACATTTATTTCCTAGGAATGTGGAAGGAGTGGCCAATATTGAAACCCAATGAGTCATAGAAAAGAACAGACATTGAAGGGTGCTTGGACCAAATCCTGGAGTTTGGTTCAAGATGTCAAGGTTCAAGTGGGATGGCTTGTCCAAGGTCACATCACTAATGAATTACAGAGGCAGAAGTAGCCCTCCAGTAACTGAATGCCACTCTAGAAAGCCGTACCATTCTTCTTCAAATTTCACCCGTTTGATCTCCCCCAATCCTGCCCGTATTAAAATAAATAAGCAGACAAAACAACAAACAAAAATAACAGTTCCTTGATGATCTAATGAAATGCATCAAAAAATTTAGCAAATAATATTTGAGAGTCTACTTTGTATCAACATCTCTTCTGTCAGGCCCTAAGGCAAAAATGTAGGTAACAAAATCAGAATGAATGGCGAAGTCACAGTGAGCAAGGTACAGCCTGTGGAATATATGTGGAAAAGGAAGGACTCCTGGAATAATTTTAGGTTGATATATCAAAGGACGCAATCATCAAGGACCCTGAACTGGAGCCCCACATGCACTGCAAGGCTGAGTCAGAAAAGCAGCAGGCAGGACAGAAGAGAAGGGATTAGTCAGTGTGTGTGGAAGAAGTCCAGAGCATCATGATACACAGTCCCACATACTCAGGGCCTTTTGCATTTACTGGTCCCAGGATTTTTCTCTTGGTTGTTCACACAGCTGGTCCCTTAACATCCTTCTGGTCTCAGCCTA